AGTGCTTTAACCACTTTTCTTCTCGTGCCAAGCATGTTATCTAGCACACAGTAACTGCTCAAAAATGTTGATTGAATAAATAAGTCATTGGTATGTAAAAACTTAGGAAGAAAGGCTTGGTGGTCTACTTCCAAAAATCCTATGGATCAAAACGGTCCGATCCAAAACTGATCTTGGGGATGGTGCAACAGAGGACTAGGCAGCATTTCGTTCCATTGTGTATGGGGTCACATGAGTCGGGGGCTGACTCCACATCAACCAACAAAATATAAAGACTAATAGTATGAAAAGACAAAAGTGTGTTTCATATCATTTGCACCTAGGAAAGATGTTTTCCATTGTGAAGTGTTACTAAAATACCCCACTCTGCTTTTTAACCCGCTGTGCAATCCCAATTCGTTGCGTAGCATTTGTGCTCCTTGAGAGTAAAACCGAGGTCTTGAGCATTCCACCTCGATGTAAGCTCCATGTGAACCAGGGCTTGGTTTTGTTCAGAGCTGTATCCCTAGCACCTAAACAGAGTTTTGCACTTAGTGGATGGATGATTTTAACCCTTAGCACAGTGCTAGGACTTCAGCAAATGGTTGCTGAATGAATAAATGATTAAACCAAAGGAACGTCCCTTACTCTTTCTCTTTCTAAGGTCCCTTTCTAACGTTCTCAACTGAGGCAGTATAAGTGGGCAGGTTCTGAAGTCAGATGGTCTGGGTTTGAATCCTGGCTCTTCTATTTGCCAGCTAGGTGACCTAGGGTGAGCTATGGAACCTCTTTGTGCTTCAGTTTTCTCGACCTGTAAAACTGGGAATAATTATAATTTCTCTAATAGGATTGCATAATTCATTAAAAATATACATAAAATATTTAGCACAGTGTCTAAACCAAACTGTTGAGGGTCTTCATTGAGGGACTCCTCGACACTCCATTAAGTGTTTTATATCCATTAACTTGTTTCCCTTCTTGAAACAACCCTGTGAGGTAGGACTTATTACTGCCCCTATTTTACTGGTGATGAGGCCAAGGCTCAGAAAGAAGAAGTAATCTTCCTAAGGACACACAGCTAATACTGGGAAAAGCCGGATTCCATCCCAGGATTGTGACATGCTCTTACTCACGATGCCTGAAACCCTCACTAAGGACAGTGCAGTCTGTGGACCAGTACCCCCAGCATCACCCGGAAGCTTGTTAGAAACGCCCAATCTCAGGCCCTCGCCCAGACCTACTGAATCGGAATCTGCATTTTAACAAAATCTCCCAGGTAATTACCATGCACAATTAAGTCTTAGAAGCACAGTTATAAATGACTTTCTACCAGCCAGACACTTGTGCTAATTAAATCAAATGTATGATCTCATCTAATCTCTACAACAACCTGGGAGGTCAGTATTATTATCCCATTTTACAAATAAGGACACTAAAGCTCTGAAAAGTTAAACCAAGCCGTTGCCATCAAGTCAATTCCAACTCACAGTGACCCTATACGACAGAGCACAACTGCCCCATAGGTTTTCCAAGGCTGTAATCTTTACAGAAGCAGTCTGCCACATCTTTCTCCCGTGGAGTGGCTGGTGGGTTTGAACCGTCGACATTTTGGTCAGCAGCCGAGTGCTTAACCTCTGTACCACCAGGGCTCGTCTGAAAGATTATCTTAAAATGAACCCACATGTGCCTGTTGCCATTCATATCCAGCTCCCTCTCCCCTCCTTAAATTTGTCTCATCCTTTTAAGCTCCACTCAAAATCTCTTCCTGCCAGGGAAGCCTTTCTTATCCACATCCCATTGGGCAGATTAATTGCTTCTTCCACCAGAGTTCCCACAGCACCCTGCATCATACCTTCCTCTTGGCCCCAATTCATTCTTTTGTTTAAGAAATATGTACTTAGCACCTACGGTTTGTTGAACCAATTTGTTCCAAAAGCATTTCTGATTGCGTTTATGAAAGCATTTCCATCACATGTGTGTTATCCTCCTCTGCATTAGTTTGTCCGTTCCCCCACTGCCCTGAGCTCCTCTGTGTCCCCAGGGCACAGGACCTGGCTTCTAGATGAGCCTCATTTTATTAGGAAACAAACTAAATGCTCTCCTGTCTACAGATGTAATTTCTTTATACTTAAGTGTGTTACCAGGAGTAGGGCCTTCCAATTCCCAAGGGTAGCAAAGGATGTAGGTGAAGTGAGGGACACCCTGCTGTGCACCAGTCCCAATCTTTGGACTGACACAGAATGCCACAACTGACTATTGTCGTGAAGTTTGCAGATATTTGTAAATCCAACTTTCTCATTTTTCCAGGCCATCAAAGGAAGGCGCTGAAATGTTAAGCAACCTCTTCAAATCCCCTGGCATTGACAAAGAAATTCAAATGGACAAGCACGTGAAAAGATGCTCAATATTATTAGTCACTGCTGTTAGGTTCCATCGAGTCAGTTTTCAACTTACACTGACCCCATGTGACAGAGTTGAACTGTCTCATAGGGTTTTCTAGGCTATAATCTTTACAGGAGCTGATCGCCAGTTCTTTCTCCCTCGGAACTGCTGGGTGGGTTCAAACCGCCAACCTTTAGGTTAGCAGCCAAGTGCTTAGCTGCTTGTACCACCAGGACTCCTTTTATTAGTCATTAGAGAAATGCAAATCAAAACCACAATGAGGTATCATCTCACATCTACCAGGATGGCTATGATTGAAAAACAGGTGTTGCCAAGAATGTAGAGAAATTGGAACCCTCATCCATTGCTGATGGAATTGTAAAATGGTACAACTTCTGTGGAAAAGTTTGGTGGTTCCTAAAAAAGTTAAACATAGAATTACCATATGATCCAGCAATTCCACTCCTAGGTATACACCCAAAAGAATTGAAATCAAAGACTCAAACAGATACTTGTACACCAGTGTTTACTGCAGCACTATTCACAATAGCCAAAAGGTAGAAACAGTCTAAACATCCATTAACAGGTGAATGGATAAACAAAATGTAGTACATACATACTGTCTTAGTTATGTAGTGCTGCTATAACAGAAATACCTAAGTCGGTGGCTTTAACAAACAGAAATTTATTTTCTCACAGTTTAGGAGGCTAGAAGTCCAAATTCAGGGTGCCAGCTCTAGGGGAAGCCTTTCTCTCTCTGTTGTATCTGGGGGAAGGTCCTCGTCTCTTCTGTTGCTCGGTGATATTTATGTGGCATGCCATCTATCCTGCCCCATCTCTGCTTGCTCGCTTGCTTCTTTAATCTCTTTATACCTCAAAGGTGATTGGCTTAAAACACTCTACACTGATATGGCCTCTTAACAAAGAAAATCCATTCCCAAATGGGATTATAACCACAGGTCTAGGGGTTAGGATTTACAACACGTATTTTCTGGGGGACAGAATTCAATCCATAACACATACAATGGAATATTACTCAACCATAAAGAGAAATGAAGTCCTGATATGTACTACATGGATGAATCCTGAAGACAATATGCTGAGTGAAATAAGGCAGTCACAAAAGGACAAATATTATATAATCCCACTTATATGAAATATCTAGAATAGGCAAGTGTATAGAGACCAAAGTTTATCTGTGTTTACCAGAGGTGGATAGGAGAGAGGGATGGGAAGACACAATGCTTAGGGGACACTGGGCTTCTGTTAAGAGTGGTGGAAAATCTGGGGAACAGTTAAGGGTGATGTTTGAATAACATGATGAAAATAATTAATGTCACTGAACTGCACATGTGAAGCTTGTTGAAATGGCAAATGTTCTGTTACATATATACTTACCACACACACACACACACACACACACACACACACACGAATTCCCTGCGGTTGAAACCAGGTTCCCAAAATCCTTCCATAAGAAAAAAACAAAGGGCAAAAGTGGCCATGATGTAGAGGAAACATGCCCACGACACAGACAGCCTAGTAGTCCCTACTTCTGCCTCTGCTTTACAGGGGGACCTGGGGGCAACCGGGTTCCTCGTGGCCTCAATTTCCTCATCTAAAATGAGGAGGCTGGACTGGTTTCTAAATCTCCTTCCAGCTCTAAGGTGCTATGCTATAAAATGAGAGAAATGTGAACCTTTGGTTGCTATGATCTGAAAATATTTTGAATGTGGAGAATCAAATTGTACAGCAGCACATGAACAAAATAATATGTTCATGACTAAGAAGATTGTATTTAATCCAATGGGAAACAGCAGAGCTGCTGCCACCGCCGCTGCTAGTGTGTGTGTGTGCATACGCGGCTTCCCTCCCTGAACTCAAACATATATTTTAAATCACTAATACAGTAATCAGGCCTCTGGCAGCCTCTCTTGCCCAAACACACACACAACACTTCCCCTTAAAATGGGGGGGGGGGGAATTCCAGCACAGTTGCTTACCTCCTTTCTGTGTTTGGGTGGCTTTTCTTTTTTTTTTTAAGAAATTTTTATAGTGGTGAAGGTGTTGGATTGACAGCCCCTGTTGGCCTCTAGTCTCAGAAATGGGGCGCGTGGGCGGTGAGCCGAGGGTTTCATTAGCTTTCCGCGCACACACACCGACCGCCCCCTGCCCAGTCGTCACAATCCGTCCAACCACCGCCGGCTCGGCAAGCTCTTGTAGGGCCCTAGACCCTCGACGAGGGATGGTCAGATCGGTGGCCCCGAGGCGCCCGGGCCAGACCACGTGCTCGGGGCCCTACCTGCAGGGGGTTAAAAAAAGTGCTCACGCGACCGGCCTAGCAGGGGTCGGCCGCGGGAAGGATTAGGTTGCTGACCTTTCCCCAGTTGAAGAGTCAGGCCCAGAGGAGGGAGTGGACCGGGGGCCGCTCGTGAGTCTCACCACGGCCTAGTTCTGGAACCCAGGCCCGGCGGCATCCGCGAAGGACAACCCAAGGTTCCCGCGCCGTTCTCGCCGGCGGAGGAGGGGGCGTGGCCGCCTGTCCCCGCCCGACGGCCGCGCCCGCGTCGGGCCGGCGCGGATTGGCTGGCTCGCGGTCGTGGGGCGGGCCTCGGCCGAGTTCCCGGCCAGGTGAGGCGCCCCGCCCCTCAGCGGCTCCAGGTGCGGCTGTGGGACCTGGGGCCGAGGGCAGGGGCTGAGGCGGGCGGCCGGGACGCCATGGCCGAGTCGCAGCTGAGCTGCCTGGACGAGGCGCACGTGAACGAGCGGGTGACCGAGGCGCAGGCCGCCTTCTACTACTGCGAGCGGCGGCGGGCCGCGCTGGAGGCGCTGCTGGGCGGCGGCGAGCAGGCCTACAGCGAGCGGGTCCAGAAAGAGCGGCTGCGGGACTTCCTGTCCAGCCAGGAGCGGCAGGCCCTCCGCGCCGCTTGGAGCCCCTACGAGGATGCCGCCCCTGCCCGTGGCAAGAGCAAGGCCAAGGCCCCGGCGCAGGCTGCGGGCGAGCCCGCCGAGTCCCTGGTCTACTGGCCCGACCGCTCCGACACCGAGGTGCCCCCGCTGGACCTGGGCTGGACTGATACCCGCTTCTACCGCGGCCTGAGCCGTGTCACCCTCTTCACCCACCCCCCCAAGGAGGAGAAGGCACCCCACCTCAAGCAGGTGGTCAGGCAGATGGTCCAACAGGCCCAGAAGGTATGCCCCGTCTCGACCCCGCTGTATGGGACCCCACCCGCAGGCCCCTTGGGCCAGGCCCCACCTCAGAGCCTGGTCCTGGGCCAGCGGCCCTCACAACCTTCTGGAAACTGGACCCTGACAGCCCTCACCTCGTGGGCCTGTGGTGAGGCCTCCAGAGCGGATGGATGTGAATGTGTTTGGCAAGTTACAAGGTGCTGGACAGATGTTAGTCATCCTTATGACAGTGTCCAGAGGCGCTGGCTTTTCTCCCCTTGTTTTTATTTCCTTGTGGCTGCCCTCTCCTTACTGGAAGAGTGGGAGCTGCGGCCCTGTGGTAAATTGGGCCACTCCATAATAACCTATGGGCTGCCCAGTGATTTACAAAACACTTCCGTGGCCATTTTCTCATTTGATCTTCAAAAAAACCCCGGGAAGTGGGGATGGGGACACCCTCACCCCAACCTCTCTGGAAAGCCCCCCAGAGCCAAGGCAGGCCTCACACCTCACATTCATCCCCCCCCCCCGCCCCCAGGTACTAGAGCTCAAGCAGTCTGGAGTGAATAAGGGAATGTATTTTGAGCACCCGAATGTGCCTGGCACTGTACTAGGCATTTTGAGGAGGCAGGTGGCTGGACCGAGCAGCTCAGGAAAAAACTTCCACTTACCACATAAGCTCTGCTTGATTGAAAGGAAAAGACACTTCCAGGGTGGCTGATTAGACTACTGGCAGGACTAGTAGATTGTGGGGGCAGGGGGAAGATTTTAAGCTTTACTCTGTGCCCTCAGGTAGGGGTATCTGGGTAGAGTTTCCAGATAAAATGCAGGACGTCCAGTTAAATTTGAATTTCAGATAAACAACAAATGCTTTTTAAATACTAAAAAAAAAATTGCATTAGAAAAGTATTTGTTGATTATCAGAAATTCAAATTTAATTGGGCATCCTTTATTTTTATTTGCTAAATCAGGCTCCCTACACTGAGATTTGTTAAGAAATACCAGCAGCCTTTCATGCCAGTGCAGAATATACTACAGGAGTGGCTTGGGTTCACCATACTAAATCAACTCGATGAGTAGTTAGAGTCCCATTACCCATGCAGGAGGGAAGATTAACCCAGGAACACCAGTGATGAGACCCTTCTCCCTGGAAGGTGTGATCTAGGTTGTTGGCTAAACTGGCAGCTATAAGCGAGGGTTAACTTTTCACTGTCCTTGTTTCCACCCTGCCTCTCTAAGTAATTCCTCCTTGTCTGACTGAGCTTTCTTTGTATATTGCATTCTGCAGAGGAGAAAAGCAAGTTTGAAGACAGAGGAGGGGAAAGGGAAGTGGGTGACAATAATGTGCAGCAGGCTGCAGCTGGGGTCAAGTCTCATGCTGTAATACTAACAAAGCCTCAATTCATTTAGCATTAAATAGGTCAGCTACTGTGCTAATGATTTATCTGCCTTTTCTTATTCACTGTTTACAACAACCGAGTGAGATAGGTATTTTCCTTACGTTCACCAGTTGCTGTCAAGTCGATTCCGACTCATGGTAACCCCATGTGTGTCAGACTAGAATTGTGCCCCATAGGGTTTTCAATGGCTAATTTTTCAGGAAGTAGACCTCTAGCCCTTTCTTCCCACGAGCCTCTGGGTGGGCTCCACCCTTCAACCTTTCAGTTAGCAGCTGAGCATGTTAACCTTTTGCACTACCCAGGGACTTCCTTATGTTTAGAGAAGAAGAAATCAGAATTTAGAGCAGCTAAGTTACTTGCCTAAAGTCAAGTAGCTAGTTAAGTGGCTAAGCTGGGATTCAGATACCAAAGCCCTTGCTCTTAACCACTGACCCACCCTGCCCTGCTGTTGAAGTGTTGGTGCAGTAAGATTAAGGCAAGGAGTTTGAGTGAAGCTAGCCTGGCCATCTCAGGCTGTGTATCCCTGTTATAAAAGGGAGGGGTCGGGCTCAGGCCCCTGCCAATTGAGGCTTCTAGTCCCATGTGAGCTAGAATCAACTTGACAGCAAGAGGTTTGGTTTTGGAGCCCTGGTGGTGTAGTGGTTAAGAGCTCAGGCTGCTAACCAATGGGCAGCAGTTCGAATCCACCCACCGCTCCTTGAAAACCTTATGGGGCAGTTCTACTCTGTCCTGTAGGTCCACTGTGAGTCAGAATCGACTTGACAGCAATGGGTTCAACGGGTTAGTCCCATGTGGAATGGTAGGATAGGACTGTTGTGTCATGGGATCTTCTTGTCTCTTTAAATATCTAACAGCAGAAACTTACACAATTGTGAACGAATAACATATACATATTTAAAACCAAACAAACTTCGTTGCCTTTGAGTTGATTCCAACTCATGGCAACCCCACGTGTTACAGAGTAGAACTGCTCCATAGGGTTTTCTTGGCTGTAATCTTACAGAAGCAGATCACCAGGCCTTTCTTCCATGGTGCCGCTGGGTGGCTTTGCCGCCGATCTTTTATGTTAGTAGTCAAGTGCAAACCGCTTGCACCATCCATAGACCTATTAACCAGTAGTTATTTCCTGAGTGCTTGCTGTGTGCTAGCACTAGCCATACAAAGGCTATAAACTGCGGCCTTTGCCCTTCAAGAACTTACTCACATGCTGGGGGATCTGCAGACAGGGAAAAAGAGTTTTTGAGGCTGGATGTGCCTAGTCTGAGACAGCATCCTGAGGGAATTGAATTGCAGGCTTGGAAGGGAAGAGAAAAGTAGACTGGGCAATTTGTTGGTTAAGAGTCAGGAGCAGGCGCGTTGACACGTTTGCTGTAGAAAAGCAAGGAAATTTGACTGGCTGGAAGAGAGAGTTGTCATGGTGGAGCTGAGTACTGTGTGGGGCCTGGTATAGGAGTACTAAGACTGGGTCCAAGGCCGATGACCACCCCATGGAAAAAGCAGCTTCTAACTCTGTTCTGTGCACCTCCCCCCAACTCCCAGGCCCTCTGTGCCCCCATCCTGCCACTCTGAATCACTGCCCCTCACGTCTGTACAGTATCTTCTTCTCAAAGACCCCATCAAGTAGGTAGGACAGAGAGCTTGTCCCTGTTTCACAGGTGAGGAAACTGAGGCACAGAGAAGGAAAGGGGCTTGCCCAAGGTCATCTGGTTGGTTATAGGAAGACCCAGGACAAGGACCCAGATCCCTAGCTTTTCCTCTCACAGCTATGCCCTCAGACTGCCACTGCCTGACCCTCCCCCAACCCTGCTTGTCCAACTGGCAAGCAACCCTCCATGGCCAGTAAATTAGAGTCTTCCTTTTTCCTTTTCACCCTGTGGGAGAGAGTTTCCTTTGTTTCCTGTCAGAGCCTGGCTGACTGGAGGCTGGGTAGGGCACAGTGTGAGGTGGTTTATGTGCAGAGACACAGTGACCGCGTGGACGGGAGGCACAGAGACATGCTCACATGAGGACTGTGCCACACACTGTTGCTTTTTATCTCATTTAAAACCCGGAATAACCTTGTGAGGTGGCATCGTTTTTTATTCCCAAGTGACAGTCAGGAGCTGAGGCCCAGGGGGAGTTGCTGTGACTTGAGAGATTCCACACCTGGTCCTCATGACTGGGAATCGACTGCATGGCAAGGAGAAAGGAGCCTAATTACGGGGACACTTTCAAAATACTGATTGGGGAGGAAGGGCTGAGGGTGGTGACCGGTGAGAAAACCACCCAGGTTGTGGAGGTGGGACCCTGTGGGCTTGATGAAGGCCTTTGAGGAGGTCCGTCTCAGTTCTCTGCTCTCTGGGCCTCTGCAGATGGCAGAAAGCCTTCCTAGGCCCGGTCTGGATAACCGGCATTCAAACACTCTGCTATGTTCACTTGCGGGGTGGGGTTTTTTCTTGCTGGTTTTTTTTTTTTTTTTAATCCCCTTGAGTTATCTGATTATTTTAGTGTCGTTGAATGGTATACTTTTTCTGTTTAAACCTTAGGCAGAAAGGGTACCTTCAGGGACCCAGAAGTGAGTCCCTTGGCCTGGCCGTTGCTCACAGAGAAGACCAGGGCAACTTGCTGATGTTTGGGCCACTAAGATCATTGTAACTGCCAAGGAGTGGTCTTAAAAGCAAGACTGTGTAGACGGGGGATCTCTTGGTTCTTATTTACAAAGCCAGAGTAAGAGGACCAAACAACCGCAATTTGGGTGGGCGGAACTAGGAAGCATTGTGCGTCCTTCTGGCCGCTTGACAGTTAGCACTTAAGTAGAAAACAGACACATAAAACACATCTCTGCTCTTAACTAGCCCAATAGTCTGCTCAGCCATCATTATAACATAGTATGATGAGTGCTTGACAGAGGGTGTGGCAGGAGGGGCACTAACCCAGCCCCTAAACCCAGTTAGGGCAGGACCTTTGATGGGGAAGACCTGTCTACAGGCAAGTCTGAACTCAGCAGGGAGGGTGAGATTGCACAAAGCCATCCACCCATCCTCACGCCCAACCTCCCTTGTGACCAGCAGCTTCCATTTTTAAGGCTACTGAGCAAGTCTCTGGGGACGCAAACTGTTTGAGCTAGACCATTAACCTAAAGATTGGTGGTTCGAGCCCACCCAGCGGCACTGCAGAAGAAAGTCCTCTCGATCTGCTTCTGTAAAGATCACACCAAGAAAATGCTATGGAGTAATTCTACTCTAACATGTAGGCTCACCATGAGTTGGAATTGACTCCACGGCGATGGGTTTGGTTTTTTTTGTGGGCAGGTTTGGAGAGCCTCAGGAACAGAGGAAAACTTATTGCTCCCTCCCCACCCCCCCCGACTGACTCTTGACTCCTGCATTCGTGGGCCCCACGCCCAAATGTACCAGCTACCCAGCTCTTCATAGTTTACCACAAACACCCATTTCCTCTGAGCCTCAATGACCATGTAAGGCAGGGTATTATCTCATTCCACAGAAGAGCCCTCTGAGGTCTGAAAGAGTGGAATGACTTGTCTTTTAGACCAGGGACAAGAAGAGTACACAGCTTCTCTGGGTCCTTGACCAGGATTACCACTGACCCCCGTGAAGATTATAAAAACAACCCAGGAGAGGGAGT